TTTTCTTGACATTCTATCGAAGAGATTTGTAGCCATCAATCATTGTCATTGAGCTATATGAACAGCCGCGCTCATGTCTCTGTTTTCAAGAATTTCATTGGGCTATACTCATTTTACCATTTTTATCAAACACTTGCAGGGTTTTAGTAACTGTAAGGAAACTCTTAATACCGACGAGGAGATATGAGACAAAATCCCTTTGTAAGTCAAGCTGTTGTATGACCATCTTGGAGGATAAGGAAATAGAAAGAAAAAAAAATAATCAAGAAACAAAAAGTAGGGTCTATTAGAAGCTCAAGAATTTCATTTGGTTTGCAGGATTCAAATTTAGTAAACCAATAAACAGATACATGAACGTGAATGTGCATAAGATATACATTTTTACTTTGAAGATGATTCCTTTTCTCCCACTTCTTCGATATTCTTAGGCGTCTCTACTTTCTCATCTTCACTTTTGATGTTCATGGCTTCGTCGATATCTCTAGTTTCTGACTCTGCTCCTTCCTCTAATTTCTCCTCTTTAGCTTCAGCATCTGTCAAATTCTCAGCAATATCACTACTTGAAACTTCCTTAGCATTTGTTAATGTTGTGAAATCTGGATGATCATCATTTCCTGTTCTAACAATATTCCCATCGCGTGTAAGAGCTCTTGGTGTTCCTGTTTCTGTTGCCAGGTTCTTTACACAGGTAAACGCATCATCATCATCAGAAGAAGAAGATTCAGAATCAGAATCAGATTCAGGAACAATTTCGTGTTGCCCATCTCTTGCTTTCTTGGATCCTTTACGTGAAAACACATGCTTAAACTGTTTTGCAGATTTCTCAGCTTGTTTTAGAAAACTCTTTGCAACATCCTTCATATGACCTTTACCTGAATTCTCCTCTGCATCTAAACTCTCAGAATCTAAACTCTGTCCTGAAAGAGGACCCGAGAGATTTTCATCAACGATGAAGTTAAGTCCAACATCCTTTTGGTTTACTGCTTTTAGATTGATTCGAGGAGACTGAGACTGTGACTCCTCTTCAATGCTTCCTATTATAAATTCTTCCTTTTTCCCATTCCTATGAAACACTGACCCAATTTTCCTCAATCCTCTACCAACAGACTTCATCGGATTCCTCGATCCCTCTTGATTTTCGTCGGTGCTACTGCTTCCATTGTTGGACGATCCATCATTAGGATTTTTTTGTATTTGGTTATCAAGACGTCTACTCTTGCCTTTTCTCGGTTCCCAAATCTGTGATACTTCAGCTCCCGGTTTTTGAACCCAAATTCCAGTCTCTTCTTGCCCTTCAATGTTAACTGGCTCAAAGTTATCCACAACACTGGGAGATTTTTCTGACGAGAAAGAGCCTCGATTTGTAGCATCAGAAGCAAAAGAAGTCTGTATGTCTTCCTTGTTTAGATTTGCCTCTTTGAAGGGATCCTCACTCAACTGTTCCAAAAAATAGAATCATTCGCTAAAACTAATCTTGAAAAACTGTTATGTTTGGAGAAAAGTTAGAATTTTTTTTACATTTGTATTGTCTTCGATTACAGTTATAGCTAGATGCAGCCTTCCCACTTTGATGTTCTGAAGAGGCAACCACATATCGTTTCTTTGGCCGCCTCTAAACTCTCCGATATTCACTGAACATTCACTGCAACAAAACAGGAACTCAAAACTAGAGACCTAAGATATTCTACAAGTTTGAAATTGAAGAGGCTGGTGTTTAGGAACAAACCCAAGGGTATCATCCACAAATCTGTCTTTGTCTCGAACTTCAATGCTAAGTATACTTGGAGAATCCCATGTAAAGATTGGTATTTTAAATTCTTCCTGCCATTTTGGGGACAACGTTTTCTTCTGTATCTTGGTTTTAAATCGGTAAGCATTAAGTTTCCCCTTCACATAAGGATCAGCCAAACCTGAGATCAAAACATCCAAGTTTTTCAAACCGAAAGAAAAATAACTAATACATTATGTAATGTCAAAACTAACCATTTAGATCAGATGGTTTAACATCTGATGCTTCAAAGACTTCAACTAAGACGTGTGCAACTGGTTCTTTCTCATCAACAAAGAACCAATTTTCTGGAGGCCAACAGAGACAATAAAAGTGCAAGTTAATGAAAGCTTGACATGTACCAATGATTTCAAGTGTCAGGAATGTAGAAAAAATGTTAGAAGTGACGAAGTAAGAAAACAGAAATATAAGAAGTAAGCTATGGAGTTGCTGCAATAAATACCTGACTTTGGGCTAACAAATTTCTCCATGTCAACAACAAGCATATTTGGCTGCAACCATATTGCAGGGAAGTTACGAAATAGTAAAACAATATCTTAAGTCAAGCCATTCATTTCTTAAATACAGGAAGGGGACATTCAGAACCAGCAGAGAACCTAAATCAAATTACAAACCATCATTCTTACCTGAACAAGCGTCTGTTCAAATGCGATAGAAAGAAGTTTATCCTGATTACGAAATTTGAGAAATGAGGCGACTTTTAGAAATTTGAAGGGTTAAAAAACCAAAAGTTTGAAATAGACAGTTCAAAAATATTATTAAGACTATATGGCTGTGTAGTACTTACCAGCCATCCAGCAATGCCTGGAAGTACAGCAACATCAAGCCCATGAGTGAAGATTGGCTTAACAGTCATCTGGAAATATGGAGGTTCTGCAAAACACACACGTAAACGCCCCAGGAAAGGCCATCGACGAAGGAACTTCACTCCGATCAACACCTTTTAAGAGTGGAAGCGCAAAAATGTGTTCTCAAAAATGAAAAAGGTCACATTCAGATAAAGCAAAGGCTGCCCTACCTTTCCTTCCACATGCATTCCCGTCAAATGCAACTTTGTCCACATCCCAAAACCAAGCCTTTTCCTTAGTTTCACAGCAAGTATTGCACTCATATCATCAGCTGCAAGAAAATTCATTCCAAGTTCCAGTACCTGCATAAACTCCAGCATAAGTTCTAATTTTCCTATCGATAGTTAAGGTAGGATGTCAAATTATAATGTTCTATGACGCGTTGCAACTATACCAAGTGATCATCACCCGTAGATTGGCGAAGGACCCTAATATCAGTCAACAAAGGCGGATTTCTTCCCATGTAAAGGTGCTGTATCACAGCTTTTTTCTGCAAATACATTGTAGAAGACATCCAAAATAACAAGTGACTACTTATAACTGGGACGTAATTTCCAAATGAAACCACAATGACATTTGCAGAGCTATTAAAAAGCTGAATGAACCAGAAAGGCCATATGGAATTAAGACTGATACCGCTGTCCAAGGTCGATACTTGTCCAAGAACCAAGGTATGATTGGACCCAGAATCTTTTGAGACGCAATCTGTTCCATGCATATAGGCCATATCTTCTCCACAGCATGATTCATCCACCGCACAGATTCAGAATCAGTTAGAACCTAAAAGATGCATATAGCAAAATACAGGAAACAATATTTCAAGCAGGGTAAGGAAACTTTGAAAAGAAAAGAAATCCAAATAAGTAAAATGTAGAAAGCACTTCTAAGCACTAAGTTAGTCAATACATGGGCTAAAATGTAGAGCTTTCACAGCTTCACTATACGATTTCAACCATTACAAGATCTAAACACCAAAAGTTATAACCATTACCATTACAATTCCTCATTTTTCAACCCAACCCATAGGTAAAATAGAAAGAAAAAGCAACCTAGGAGCTTTGAAAGTTATAACTAACTTTCCAGCATTATATTTGGGGTAATCTCTAAGATCTGTCTTGACCAAACTAAAACCTGGGTTAAGCACACCATTAACAGTTAGCACATAAAGGTAGGATCTTTCCACGTAAAGAAGAGCACAACCATAGAAATTTAAAAAGTTACCCTTCTCTGATTAGCTTGCTTCCTCTCTTCAAACTGCAACTTTCTCTTCAATCTCATCACATACCGTTCGTGAACCTGAAGAAACCCCAAAATATATATAAAGCAACAATCTTTACTCATTCCACTAAAATCCAGACATGGTACCCAAAAGAAACATAACATCAGAGAAGCAGAACAGTACCAGGTAGAGATAAATGAGAGCAAGGAAGTAGAAAAAAGCGTGGGATCGATTCAACGAAGAGATGAACCAGAGTAACAGCAGCACAATGATGATATGGTGAATTAACGAAGACTCCATCGTAACCTTTCTATGAAAAAAAAAAGAAAACCCAAAAGATTGCTAAAGATTTAGTCTTTAAATCAAAACTCCATCTCAGAAAGGAGAATGATCGGAATCGATTCGAACTTTGAAGTGTTTTACTGTTTTAGAAAGATCGAAAAAGCCAAGAAAACGACAAGAGCTACAGTATCAGCACGGAATGAATCATTGATTCACCCACAGTTTTTGTGATTCGACGAGAGTGTGTGAGTTTTTAGGATTATGGATTATCCCGTGGGGTTTCCTTTTTTCTCAAGTCTACCAAAAAAAAATCTCAAATCTCTAAACGTTGACCAGTCTCGAGATTTTTTCTCTTTTGCTGGTTCCAAGATCAAACGGTGTCGTCTTCACGATTGTTCCCACCATCAAACCAAATCAAATCGAATACTTTCATTATATGGTTACCAAATTAGCAAAAGGCTTTTCCAAGTGGTCTCACTTGGCTAATATTCTGGTCAAGTCATTAAACCATTAGTTACCATATATTCAAGTTTTAACTTTTCTTTCTCGTATATTCAATATTTTGACCAAAATTTTAAGTGCTACCAGATTTTATATTTATGAAGTCAAAACCAAATGTTATCAATCATCCTCTCAACATTGTACTATATGGACCTACTAAGAAGACAAAGACCATCAGAAATCATAAAGAAGATCATGATTAGTCGTTGAGCTTGCTAACCTGATGATTTATGTCGGCAACAGCTTCGTTTTAAATAAGTTTAGGCCCATTATTAGCCCATTAGATTAGGGCCTTAAGTCCATGTAAAAACCTCAAAAGCTCTTCTTCTCATCCCACCTCCAAGGACCAAGGCAAAATAGAGAGATAGATTCATGTCCCGAATCCCATCTCCGATATAACTTTTCATTTTTGTTCGTTTCAGATGAGTTTTTAATCTTATCTCAGATAAAAAAATATCAGTATCTTGGGTCCCAATAATACTAGGTGTTGACTTAGACACTTTATAAGTTGTGGGCTTTGACAACGATGGTGATGACACATTTCTCACGTCTCCGACAACTTCTTCTACTCCAACCCAAATCCCTCGTTTCTCAATCTCGTATCCTCCGTCCTCGTCATCCAACATTTCTCCGATCAGTGATGGGTTCTTCTTCATCATTCTCCTCCTCCTCCTCATCCAAGCTTCTCTTCCGCCAACTCTTTGAGAAAGAATCTTCCACCTTTACTTACCTTCTCGCCGACGTTTCTCATCCTGACAAGCCGGCTTTGGTATGTCTGCTTCCAAAAGATTTGATTTTTTTCAGATGGTTTTTGGGTTTTTCTTGTCTTAAATCTTAAATTATGATCCTTTGCATGATGAATGTGATCAGATCGTTTTGTCGGGATTCTGGAACGACGGGAAGTTGAATCATTAAGTTTTTGGTTGTTGGGTTTTATCCAGATTAGTGTATCGAGAGTGTGACTGAGTTGTAACTGAAAAAGATCTCCACTTTTGTATCAATTTATGTTCTTTGTTTGTCTGATCTGTTGAATTGTGCTTTTTTATGTGATGATGATGAGCAGTTGATTGATCCGGTGGACAAGACTGTTGATAGAGACTTGAAGCTGATAGATGAGTTAGGGTTAAAGCTTGTCTATGCTATGAACACTCATGTTCATGCGGATCATGTCACTGGAACTGGACTTCTTAAGGTCTGTTTCTGTTGATTGATGTCATTGTTTACATTTCTGTTGTTTTGGTTTAAATCGAAAATTTTAGTCATCTCTCTTTGTTTGCTTTTACACAGACTAAGCTACCAGGTGTGAAATCCGTCATTTCAAAAGCAAGTGGTTCTAAAGCAGATATGTTTCTTGAACACGGTGACAAAGTATCCATCGGTGATATATACCTCGAGGTAAGAAACCAAAGTTACAAACCACCGGGAAAGTATAGAGAGTAATAATCAAATTTGATTTTGTCCCAGGCTCGTGCTACACCTGGACATACTGCAGGATGTGTTGCATATGTGACTGGAGAAGAGGCTGATCAGCCCCAGCCAAGAATGGCTTTTACCGGGGATGCTGTACTCATCCGGGGTTGTGGGAGGACTGACTTTCAGGTACAATAAACAGAGGAGAATTTGGTATAAAGAACCAGTAACCGCAAGGCATCCGAAAAATGCATGGGATTTAAATTTTGTAATGAGGAACCAATGTGGATGCAAAAGATTAAAGTTTTGTAATGAGACATCGGTTTAACCTTACTATGATGTTTCCTTGTGCAGGGAGGAAGCTCGGATCAACTCTACGAGTCTGTACACTCTCAGGCAAGTGTTTTCAAACTTTATTTTGTCTCCAAAGGTGAAGCTTTTTACATTTATAAGGATTTTATGTAAAACGGCTTTTGTTGATGTTTGTACCAGATATTTACATTGCCAAAAGACACATTGATCTACCCAGCTCACGACTACAAAGGTCTCTCGGTAATGCTCAACGCAAATTCATTCACATTGGCTTGTTTAGTGACGATGTAATCAATTCACACAGTTGCTTAGACATCATTCTGTTAATATTCAGGTTAGTACAGTTGGAGAAGAGATGCAACACAACCCACGTTTAACTAAAGATAAAGAAACATTCAAATCCATTATGTCAAGTAAGTTTCTTCCGCTTGGTGTGCCAAGTATTCCTTAGCTCATACATAACCGCGGTTTTTTTTGCTCTTACAGATCTGAATCTGGCCTATCCAAAGATGATTGATGTTGCAGTACCAGCAAATATGGTGTGTGGACTACAAGATGTGCCTTCTCAAGTCAACTAAAACTCTACTCAATTTGTTTATCTCTTTATCTACTCCTCCATTCTATATTTACCAGAAGCCAATAAAACTCTTCACGGTAGTTTTGTTCATGATTGTGTTTGTCCAAGAAGATTTGCCTCTGTTTTAGATAAGACTATTAGAAGATTTGTGTTAATTAGATTGAACATATGGAATTTGCTATGAAGATAGAGACAGTATTTGCGTGCTCAACTTTTGTTTGGTTTGCTGATTGATTAGTCTAAGTAAATCAATTAACATAATCAAAATGAGCTTTTCAACCACTCATCCATGTTCTGCTGCTACGTGTCGAAATTGCTATAACCGATCAAACAATGACTCAGCGTGAAAGAGACAAACTTACTTTCTCAGTGGGAACATGAGAGTAGTTTGTCCATAAGTGTGTTTGTCCAATGAGATTTGCTTACGTTTTAAGATGGGATAACTAGGAAACTTGTGTAAATTAGATTGAACATGTGGAACTTTGTTATGAAGAAGACAGTACTTGCCTGTTCAGCCTTTGTTTGGCTTGCTGATTGATGTCATGATGTGTCAGCTACTTTTCAATTCTTAAGATAATTTACATTAGCTTTTCAACCATTCGTTCATGTTCTGCTGCAACGTGTCTAAATTGCTAAAGCCTTTTAAATCCGATGAAACAATGACTCAGCGTTTGATAGAGATAAACTTATGTCATCTCTTTTTCAGTGGGAACTTGATATTCGACGAACTCCCTCAACTAACTTATGTCAAACATAAACTACTTATGTTTTAAATGAAAGTAAAAACATGAAAAATTCAAACTCATGACTTGTTTGCTTTCTGAAAAAGTATATTCACACTGTAGGTTTGAAAACAAATGGTTGAATTTATCATCTTTGTATAAACAACACAACTTACTATCTTTACTTCTCACTCTATAATCTTTGTATTCATTTCGTGTTTCTCTTTACATCTCTCTTTCCCCCCTAATTTCTCCTTCTTGTTCCAAAAATCCCCACTTCTAGTAGATGCCCCAACACACAACTATGGTATCATAACTTCACATTTCCCAGGGTCTACAGAAGGAGAAGGCCAAAATTAGGAGGAGACACTGTGTTTATACATGGTCCTTGGGGACTTGTTTATGGTATTTGGCTCCCATGCTCTCGAATTTTTGCTCCATTTCTACACCAGTCTTGATCTCAAGGGTGAATTCGGTGTTTGAGCCCTGAAACTAGATGGTTCTATCATTGTGTCTTTCTTCACCCTGAAAGGGCTAGCAGCAAACTCCGCTAGGTTGTACCCACTGTCTTGCCCAGGAAATAAATACGATGGATGAGGAGGTGACAGGAAACAACTTTTGTATGCCGGCCCAAGTTGACGTAAAGGGCTTGAACATGGAGATACTGGCAAGGATGTGATAGCTCTTACGTTTTCTCTGCTGCAAGAGCCAAATACGAGATTAGTTGACAAGAACAAGCATAAAAGTAGATTGAGCTACAACCCTTTACCTTGGGCTCTTTATAGTTCTAGACACTGGCTGTCTTTGGTAATTATCATGGCTCAGTCTCCCTGGATAGGATTCCCTTGTAGGCTGCTAAAGAAGAAAGTCAAGTTTAACTTGATAGGAGGAAATCAAATTGATCCAGCCCAACATATGCATTATATACATACCAGTGAGTAGCTTCCATCAAAGGGGCGTGGGGAGGCATCTTTGGGCATACTATTATTAGCCACTCGTGTTGTGTGTACACGTAGAAAAGGGTGCTCTAGAAGCTGAGAAGCTGTAGGACGTGCTGTAGGATTTCGTTGCAGGCAAAGCCTAATAAAATTCTTTGCATCATTTGAAAGATGATCAGGTATCTCTGGGGTGTCTTTGCTGTTTCCGATTTTGAAAATCGCAGCAACCTGGTAAAAATAATTAGCAAAAACTTTAGAATAATAAAAAGAAGAGTGCACACGAGATTATGTCCAGTCTTCAGTATTATATACCCCTTCAAACTGACTCCAAGGTGGCTTTGATGTTGCCATTTCGAGAATAGTACAACCCAAACTCCAGACATCGACTGCACGAGTGTAGCCATTTTGGCTCATCACAACCTGGTAAAGAACGGAAGCATAATGTAATTTTCTATCAGCTGCAACAAAATAATGGCCTTCCACTAGTTAAAAAGATAGAATAGTGGAACTACCTCGGGTGCCATCCAGTAAGGACTCCCTTTGAAAGAAAGCATAGTAGAAAAGGCTGTTACCTGTTGCAGAAAGAAATGGCTACTTAGAGCTTCTGCAATCATAATTTTCAAGAAATATATAATGTAAAGGAGATAAAACAATGGATATCTTCTGTTTCGCATTGATGACGTTCTGGAGATCATGTATCCATATTTTGGTTATGAAGTACATTTATATACTTACATGTTTGGCCATCCCAAAGTCTGCCAACTTTATTTCACCATTCGGATCCACTAATATATTTGCTCCTTTGATGTCCCTGTTAGAACAACAAAACTCTTCATTAAATGTTCAAAACAAGACAAATTGAATATTTTCTTTTTCGAATGGGCTAACGGGTCACACTTTGGCCAAGTATCCTACAAAAAGACACCCGAGAGCCAGAAGTATTGAATACCATTCAAACTTTCAGATGTCATATTGAATACCTATGTACTGTATTTCGTCCATGTAAATAGGCAAGTCCAGCGAGAATCTGCCGCGTGTAGTTTTGAATAACAGGTTCAGTGAAAGAACCATACTCCTTAAGCAGTTTATGGATTGAACCACCTGACACGTACTCCAAGTAGACGGACAAGGTTTCTTCACTCTACAAGCATAACAATATCCAGGCCAGGCTTCAATATAGGTTTCTATATAACAATATTACGCTGCCCTCAACAAGCATATATGATCTCTCCTTTTCCTGAAGCTCACAGATATTGACACATACCAGTTCACTTCCGTAATACTGGACAATATTCGGATGACAAAGCTGGCTAAGCAAATTTATCTCCTGAAAATAAAATAGTGTCGTTAGAGGTCTGAAAAATATTAGAGTATTTTACAATTTCATTTTAATTGAGAGCTGAAAGTAATCAAATCTTGACAATATACAAAAGATGAGGCAAACTAGATAAACCTGATTTAGTTGCTTCAGACATTCTTTTGACGTTTGGTCGTCAGTAATGACATTGACCTCTTTAATAGCACACATCTTTCCTTTCTCACTGTAAGATAGGCGAAAACATTATATGATGGGAAGAACTAATTTAGAAAGAAGGATGCTTATATAATGTAAGGAGCTAGCATAATAGAAACTTTTCCTTTCTATTGCCTTTATCTAGATAGCAGGTGAAGCTAACCACAAAAAATGTCCACACACTCTACAGCATATCAAAGGTAAAACCCTCGCAGGAGTCGTAAGGATATACCCATGCCCATCACATGTAACATCTCTGGATACTAGCTTAAGATAGCTACTAACCTATATATCAATAGTAATGGCCTCCGGATCTACAAGATGCAAATATAGTTTCCACCTACGGAGAAAGCTAGCATCAAATCCCCTATCTATCTGAACATCGCACATAATGTGATCTAAAGAAGGCGGAAGGCCTTGCTTAAACCAAGGTTAGCTAACTAACTATTGTCACCTAAAAACTAAGCCAACTGACTCAGTTGATAAGATTTTCCTTATCTGATACTATTACATTTCTTAAAGCGGATCAGAGTAGAAAAATCTGACTACCCCACCTGTTGAACCCTTGATAGACTTGGCCAAAGGTGCCCCTTCCCAAAAATTTGCCTTTTTTCCACTTGGAAAACCCTGAAGGAGAGGTCTCGTAGCCTCCTCCAATCCTGGAACCATGCACAGCAGAAGGGCTTGTAGGAGAAGTAGGGGGTCGAGGCAAAGGGTGGCACTCAGAGGAGGACCTTCCATCATCATTCCTCCCTGTTGAAGACTCTAGACTCACAACTCCAGATAATCGCTGATGCAGTGGAGACGTGGGCCTATTAGATACTGCCTTTGGGGAAGCTCTCTCGTTGAATTTCACATCAGAATGACCTCTGCTAATATGCTTATTAAGTTAGAGCCACAAAACCCACAATCCAAACAGCAAAAAGACGCAACCTTTGATTGATTAAGAGGCTATGGATCCGAACAAGCAGACGCACAATTCAATGGAGCTAATATCACTACTTTCTAAATAAAAGGGAGAAAAAAAAAGCAAACCTAGAGACAACAAGTTGACTCTGATCTTCAGCTGATCCGGATGAGCTAACGCTAGAAACAGAGGTAGATCCGGAGGTGGATCCGCTTACATGATCTTGATGGATCGAAACAGGAGAGAGCAAAGGACGAGGGAGAGGATGACCTTTCTTCTCTGTAGAATCAGAGTCGAAACCAGAGAAGCCAGAAGAAGCTCCGGCGAATTCACGACTGCAACGAGGTGTACCACCACGAGTGGGAGTGAGAGGAGGATCAACACCAACACCACAGCTCTTGATATCTCTATCTGTGGAGATTCCTCTGCTATTGCTGTGATTATCGTCCTTGTTCTTACAGGACTTTCTTCCCCACCAAGTAGGCATATCACACAAGAAAAACTGGAGGACTCTGAATTGAAAAGGTGAGATTTTTAAAAACAGAATCAATGGAAGAAAGAAGATGAGAGATTAGGGCATGAGAAGGAAGATAGATACGAAAGATGAAGATTTCATCGGCAAAGAAGAGAGAGAGAGAGTGGACAGCTAAGCACGAAAGGGTAGTTGGAGAAAGAGAGACACAAGTTGGGACCTTTTCACTTATTTATCTCTCTTTCTTTCTCGCCGTCGGATTAACAAACCAACCTGCTCTGCTCCTCTCGTAACTTTTGCTTCAAATTTCAGATTTTTTTTATTTTTTGGACGGTTTTACAAAAAAAAAAGTTGTTTTCTTTTCCTGTAGAGTATAAAAATGGAATTTTGCGACATGGGTTAAAAACAAAAAATAATCAATTAATTTTGGTCTGTGGAGTAATATCCAATGTGATTGAACAAATTATAGCATGAGGTGGTTAATTTTGCTATGTAATTCAAGTAGATGATGAGATTGAAACTAATAATGAGAATTAGCTTTTTTAAAGCTTATCTATGTTTTGGAACACTCACTGGAACTAGACTTCATAAGGTCTTTGTTACACCTGTCCATACTGCAGGATGTGTTAAGATATGATACTCTGGAGAAGAGGTGGATCAGTCCCAAACAAGAAATAGCTTTTACCAGGGATATGTTGTATTCATCTGTTGTTGACCGACTTTTTGGTACACAAGTTGGTTTTAAAGAACCAAAGTCTGCAATGTTGATGTAGTAGATCTAGATTTTGTGATTAGACACTGGTTTAACTTAACTATGAGTCTAATGTTTAATTTCCTCGGTGTTTCAGTTCGGAAGACACATTGATCTATCCAGCTCATGTCTACAAATGTTTTGCGCTAATACAAAACGCAAATTTCACAGATGAAATTTTGATTCATAATAATGATGTGAGGGAAATGTCCCACAGAGGATAGGATGGATAATAAAACAATGTTTTATAAGACCTGAGAGCTGAGCAGCCCCCCCCCCCCCCCCCCACCATCATTATCATTCATCCACACAATAGTGGCTTTACATCTATCTGTCAAAATTGAGGCAACACTATCCATGTCTAGCTAAAGATTAATAAACATTCAAATTCACTATGTCAAGTTAGTAAGGTTTGTTGTTCTCCTTTAGTATGCTAAAGTATTCATCAGCTCATAATGACCAAGGGTTTTAGCACTTATAGATCTGAATCTTTGCGTATACAAAGATGATTGATGTTGTGCAACTATGTTTCTACACAATTTGTTTTTTCTCTCTTTCACTCATACTTCCACATGTCTATATATTTACTAGAAGCAAGTTTGTTTGTGGGATATTAGATAAGATCAAATAGAAGATTGTGTAAATTAGATTGAACAACATGTGGGATTTATTTGTTATGAAGATGAAGACAGTAATTGCGTGTTCAACTTTTGTTTGGTTTTTGCTGATTGATGTGTCAACTACTTCAATTAACAAAAGCTTAAGCCGAATGATCTTTTTCTAACAACAACCAGTCGTCCATGTGTCTGCAGCCACGTGTCTAAATTCCTAAAACCACAAATCTGATTATAACAATAATGAGATATAGAGAGATAGAGAGATGATAAAGAATCTGACACAAGAAAGAGAGAGGGAGAGAGAGAGAGAATGAGCCAAGAAAAAGACAAAAACAGAGGAGCTTCTCCTTCATCTTACGGCACGTTTCAAGGTGTCCCTACTTATCCTCCGCCGCCGCACCCTCCTCCGCCGTCGCATCATCATACGGTCACCGGATTCCCTCAGCCGTCTCCACCTCCCGGAGCAACTCAGCACGACATTTCCGTTTATCAATACGTTCAAGAACATCAAACCGTTCCTGGTAAGTAACTCTCCGACTCTCTTTGGAAACCTTTGTCGAAACGCAGCTTTGAATCTCAGATTTTCAAGAGGAAAAAGTTAAGCTCTGCTTCTTCTTTCGTCAACCCTTTTGATAGTATCTCAATGGTTACTAAAAAAGTTCCAATATACTAAAGATGAGACAGAGTCTATGCCTGAGCTTGATACCAAAATTTGTCTCTTCTTTATGATCCAACTGAGTAAAGTTAGTTCTCACTGACAAGAGTCGTAAGATTCTTAAAAATGATATAAGAGTTTATTTCTTTCAGTAATCAAGAACTTAAACTATATAATCAAAATTATTTAGAAAGCTTGTGCCTCTCCATTTCGATGGCTCTCTCTATCTCTGTTTCTACAATAGTTCACAAAGCTTTAAAAGCAAATGTATAACTAAATTTGCAGGTTACCCTGTTTCTGAAGGAAGACCTGCAAGAGAAAACCGTCTTCCTTGTTGTGGTCTTGGCCTCGGTTGGTTCTTGTAAGTTTCTCCTGTTCCCTAGCAATCTCCAATTAGACTTGGTTTCAATACATTTTGTCTGACAAAACTCATGTTTATGTTAAGGTTCATCATTGGTTTCCTTCTTGGTGCACTCCCATGGTACATAGGCGTATTCATTCTAGTATGTGCTAGGATCGATCCGCGAGAGAAACCAGGATACATAGCTTGTACCATCGCAGTGAGTCTTTCACTAAACGATAATCACGTTTTATACATTAATATTGTGATTCAATCAATGTTTAGCACTTTACTTTCACACAGGCTGGTATTGCTACAATTGCCATATTTTTTGGTGTCATGGGAGGAAGAGGAGCATGGTCGTGAAAGTTTGGAAATTAAGACATTGCTCATCAAAGTATCTTGAATTTGTGCTTGATGGAATGTCTCAAAAATTGAGCTGTGTTTTTCAATAGAATCGAGAGCTGGTTTGGACTTTACAAAAGATTTGAATATAAATTTTTATCATGGGGACAAACTCTCATACTTAATTTGACTTTTCAGAATCTACTTCATGCTCAGTTTAAAGAAGAAGTAAAAACTTACACAAGCGTCACATCCTCTACGTAGTTTGGAAATGCGTGAAACCCTACACCCACTAAACAACATCTGAACTTCAATGTTTACTCTTGTGAGAATGTTGGTTACGAGTTGTAGTGGCAAATTAGAAGAAGAAAGGATCTCGTGAGTAGTTTGAGTATAACACAATTTCACAACTACCATTAATCATTCCAGCAGGGCCTAGATATGTTGTGGAGAAGAGGCATTTGGTAGATATGCTTTGACCATTCATATTTCTCGGCATCCTCCAAAACCCACAACTCAAAGATCACTAAGATCGTTTCCTCAAAGGTTTGTTGCTTTTGTAAGAGAGCAATAATTTGATAATTTGAAGATCAAAAAACCGATATCAAAAATATACCAGTGTTTAGCTGTAGTGACTAAACAGAGAAATAATAACTTGAAAGACACGCAAGAAACACAAAATATACAAAGATTAGATAAATGTGGTAAGTTGGGTTTGGGAAGAAGAAGAAAGCACTTACATAAGCTTCATATCCTCTACATAGTTTGTGAATGCGTAAACCCAGCGCCTACTAAGCCATAGTGAAACTTCAATGTTTACACTTGTGAGAATGTTGGTCTCGAGGTTGTAGTAAAAGATGAAGAAAGGACCTTGTGTATAACATGGGCAAAGCACAATTTCGCAAGTACCAATCATTCCAGCAACACGTAGCAAAGTAATGTCATCATGCAGCACTGGATGAAACATTTGGTAGATATGCTTTGACCATTTATGTCTCTGTGCATCCTCCAAAACCCACAACTCCAAAATATTATCGCATCCATCATACTCACAAGCGCCTAATTTACCCTTGTAGTCGATCAAAGTGAAAGGGAAAAATTCCGTCCATGTTAGTGACATGTCTTGATCAGTGTTAATAACACTAAAAATCTCAGACCTAACATCAAAGCAAGCGATGTTGATGCAAGGGATTGTACCCTCCAGGCACACTGCTGGATAATACAAAAACCCATTGATGCAGGTGCAGCACATCGTATCGTCACCGCGTATACGATAATGAACTGTTCTACACTGGATCTTTCTCCATAAGAGGTTCTTATTTCCAGTCCCTAATGTTAGAACTTGATACTGATCCAATTTGCGCGTTTTACAAAACGAGGTGATACGCAATATCTTCAACTGTTGGTCTATCGGATCATACCCAAAAAAATCTTTATCATACACGTTTGATGGCCGCCACTCTGACTTGGGCAAGGCTAAAAACTCTCTTGTTATGGGATTACAAATCACGGCCACTTTTGGAGATTTCTTTCCAGCATGTTGATGGCAAACCAATCCGCCAGCCTGAGGATGACACACACTACTGCAAGGTGACCCTCTTGTCCTATGATGAAAGGTGGCTACAAGAGACGTGTTCTCATCCGGATTCTGAGGCTGTTGTACGGAGTAGAAGAACAAATCTCCTTCATATTCGATGATGAAAAGGATACGCGGTTGAGCCGGGGACTTGCATGGGAACAACACGTTGTAGTTTGGACGGCGGATTATGGACGACCAGAGCTTTGATACGCAACGACACTGAGCTATGCACTCCAGAGGTAATCTCGACAAGATATTGCTGATGAAGAGATCAACAGGGATCAGATCAAAGTATTCTGTTTCAACTTCAGAGGTTGAAGAAGAACGGATCCGTTGATTCATACTGAATGGTTTGAAGGTCACGCTAGGTTTGATGGTTCGACTAAAGTTTCTCTCGCTTGTTTTATGTCTTTCCATAAGTTGGGCTTTTTAGGGGCCTAAATCTATTTACTAGCGGCACCATACACTACTTCGTTTTGGCCCATTTAGACACGACTAACCAATTTAAATTTACTTATACACACCGAAAAAAAAAAAACAACTTATAGAACGATTCAGATCGTGGTGGTGGTGAATTGAAAATTTAAACATTTAGATCCATCAAACACAAAGAAGATAACTTTGAACATGTTACTAGTGACAATTATACCATGTTAGATCATTGATCATTCGAATATGTTTAGCCAATTTATCCCTCGAACAAGAGAATTGGTTTTTATAGTTTAATTTATTGATCACTCCAGGGCCAAGACAGAACACAAGAACTAACTCATGTCTCGTTTTCTTGAAAAACAAAAATCGAAAAACCCCCAAGTTTTGTAACTAAACAGAAAAAAAAAACTTCAAAAGACACGCAAGAAAAGAAAAAAAGTAAACACTTACATGAGCTTCACATCCTCTACAATGTTTGGAAATGCGTGAATCCTACACCCAGGAACACGAAACTTCTTATATAGTGGAACTTCAAGTTTTACCCTTGTGATAGTGTTGGTCTCGAGGTTGTAGTACAAAATGAAGAAAGGGTCTTCTGTGAAGCGTGGGTGTATCACAATTTTGCAACTATCAATCATTCCAGCAAGGCATACAGACCACATTCTATCCAACCACGGATGAGATATTCCGTAACTAAGCTTTGACCATTTAGATGCCTTGGCATCCTCCAAAACCCACAACTCCAAAAGATTATCATAATTAAGGGCACCTAATTTACCCTTGTAGTCGATCAAAGTGAAAGTGATAGATTTCTTCTTCTCTGCCATGTCTTTATTAACGTTAACAACACTAAATCTCTCAGATCTAACATCGAAGCAAAGGATGGCAACTTCTCCCTCATAGATCTCTGCAGGATAATACAAAACACCATTTATGCATATAGCATTACCGTTTAAAGCATAATGGATTTTGCAACATTGGATCTTTCTCCATAAGAGATTTTTATTTCCATCCCCTAATGTGAGAACTTGATACTCATCGGACAAGTTCTGTGAGCCACTACGCAACCAGGTGATGCACAATACCTTGAACTGTTTGTCGAGTGGATCATACCCAAAAGCATATCTTGCTCTATCGAATGACATCTCTGACTTAGCACCCTCCAAACTCAGGTCGGGCAGTTTAAAAGACTCTCCTGTAATGGGATTAATGATCATTCCCACCGGATTATACTGACGACACACCAGTCCGCTGACAGGATCACATATATCGTAAAACTTTGTGTTGCGGGTCCTATGATGAAGGGTGGCTACAAGAGACGTGTTCTTATCCAGATTGTGAGGCTGAGGTGACGAGTAAAATAACATATCTCCTCCATATTCGATGGTGAAAAGGATCCGCGGTGGAGCCGGGGACTTGATCGGGAACAACACGTTGTAGTATGGACGACGAATTATGGACGACCAGAGCTTTGATACGCAACGACACTGACCTAAAGAATCAACCGGCAACCTCGACAAGATATTGCTGATGAAGAGATCAACAGGGATCAGACCAAATGATACTGTTTTTTCTCCAGAGGTCGAAGAAGAACGGATCCGTTTATTCATGGTGAATGGTTGAAATGGAACGCTAGGTTTTGGCACAGCTTGAGTACGTACGTCGTCTGTATAATCCGGTGGGAGTGATCATTAACCTAGCTGTCATTAAACCACACTCCACAAGTTGGGCTTTGTTTAGGGCCCATAGCCCATTATCATTTAACGGTGGCAGCCCACCATTGTAGATTCATTTTAAGTGAATCTGCAAAATCTTAATTTTTATAACAATTTATCACACGATCTACGGATCTAGTACTATAATTTAACTTTTAGCATATTCGAGTCATAATCCAAAAAGACCAAAAAAGAAAGAAAGACAAAGATGTGCGAACAAAGTCCAGCTCCAGTCTCTGATCCTTACGCTTATCTTCAAATCGTAAAGAATCCAGATGATTCAATCACTCGCGACCTCACCAACTTCCCATGCGCCGCAGCAACACCTGATCCTTCCCCGCAAAACCCCGCCGTTTCAAAAGATCTCCCCGTGAACCAGTCAAAGTCAACGTGGCTCCGTCTCTACGTTCCCTCCTCCGCCTTAAACGACGGCGTTTCGTCTCAGAAACTCCCAGTCGTTGTGTATTACCACGGCGGGGGATTCATCATGTGCAGCGTTGACTTTCAAGTCTTCCACGATTTCTGTTCCGAGATGGCGCGCGATCTCAACGCCATCGTCGTGTCTCCTTCTTACCGGTTAGCTCCTGAGCACCGGTTACCGGCGGCGTACGACGACGGTACGGAGGCGCTGGAGTGGATCAAAAACTCCGACGACGAGTGGATCAAATCTCACGCCGATCTCTCAAATGTGTTCCTCATGGGAACTAGCGCCGGAGGGAACTTGGCCTACAACGTCGGGCTAAGATCCGCCGCCGATTCCGTATCTGATCTGAGTCCGTTACAGATCCGTGGACTGATCCTACACCACCCGTTCTTTGGCGGGAAAGAGCGATGCGGATCTGAGATCAGACTTGCAAACGATCAGGTTTGCCCTCCCATAGTCACCGACGTCATGTGGGAACTGTGTCTTCCCGTCGGCGTTGACCGGGATCACGAGTATTCGGATCCGACGGTGGGAGATGGACATGAGAATCTGGAGAAGATCGGACGGTTGGGATGGAAAGTGATGGTGATTGGAGGAGAACTAGATCCGATGGTAGATCGGCAGAGATATGTGGCGAAGCTGATGAAGAAGAAGGGAGTCGACGTGGTGGAGCAATTTACCAGTGGCGATGTTCACGGTGCTGAGGTCATGGATCCTTCAAAGCGTAAAACTCTGTTTGTTTCCATTGGAAGTTTCATTTCTTCTTCGAGATGAGTGACGTCGCAAGTGTTTTTTTTTTTAAGAGTTAAAAAAACAAACTCAAGACAAAGATTGTGATTAGTTATGTTTGGGAGAAGTAAACACTATTAAATATGTGTCGCAGTCTCTACATAGTTTGAAAATGTGTAAACTCTGCAATAAGGAAACTTTTCGAATACTTGAACCTCAAGTTGTACTCTTCTGATAATGTTCCTCTCGAGCTTTGAGATGAAGAAAGGGTCTCGTACTCTCGTGTATTCCATGGGTACAACTCAAATTCGCCACTAGCAATCATCCCAGCAGATAGTACATAGCTCATTTCATCCGGCCATGGATGAGGCATTTCGTAGATATGCGTTGATCATTTATGTTCCTTTGGATCCTCTAAAACCCACAAGTCGAAAATATTATGGTATATATCACAGTTACAAGCACCTAATTTACCTTTATAGTCTATGAAACGAAAATTTAAAGGTTCCGGGATATTTGTTGCCATGTCCTAATCAATGTTAGCGATAAAGAATTTTTCAGACCTAACATCAAAGCAAACCATGGTATGCTTTCCGGTACTGAGCCTTGCGGGGTAATACAAAACACCATTGATGCATATACCATTATCTTCTAGAGGATAATGAAGTATGCGACATTGGATCTTCCGCCATGAAAGGTTTCCAGTCCCTAATGTCAGAACGTGATACTCACCTAACCACTCTTGTGTGCCTTTACGTAACCAAGTTATACGCAATACCTTGAACTGTTCGCCTAACGGATCATACCCAAAAGAGCACCTTACTTTTCCATTTCTCTTCTCTGAATTCACCCCCTCCATTCTTAGTTTGGGTAAGGTTAAAGACTTTCCTATGATCCCTCCAAGGCCAAGTTTTGTAGTAGATGGAGTAAGACAGAACACAAGAACTCATGTCTCGATTTCTTTGGAAAAAGAAACTGAAAAAACCCATGATTTGCAACTAAACAGACAAATAATAACTTCAAACGACACACAAGAAAAGAGAGAAAAAAAAGAAATACAAAGATAGAATAATATGATAAGTTCTCTTTGAGAAGATGTAAACACTTACATAAGCTTCACATCCTCTACAAAGTTTGAAAATGCTTGAATCCTAATCCCACGGCCACGAAACCTTTTAAATAGTGGAACTTCAAGTTTTACCCTTGTGATAATGTTGGTCTCGAGGTTGGAGTACAAAATGAAGAAAGGATCTTCTGTTAAGCGTGGGTATAGCACAATTTCGCAACTACCAATCATTCCAGCAAGGCATACAGACCACATTCTATCCAACCACGGATGAGATATTCCGTAACTAAGCTTTGGCCATTTAGGTTTCTTGGCATCCTCCCTCCAAAACCCACAACTCCAAAAGACTACTGGAAATCTCATAACTACAAGCACCTAACTTACCCTTGTAATCGATCAGACTAAAAGTGTGTTTTGAGATCGCTGTCGCTATGTCTTCTTGATCAACAAAGATCAGACTAAAAGTGTGTTTTGAGATCGCAGTCCCCATGGATGGAAACTCTAGATGAGGACTGCTATCTGATGCTCCAACCACGCTCTTGGACTTGTTTAGGGACTAATAACTTCTTCCTAATTGATTAGGTTTTCTCTGATGTATGTTATGTTATGCAAGAAATACTTTTCGATCTGATCATTACAGAAGAAGGAATCTGAGCTAGACACAAACACGTTAGCCTAGCCTTCTCAAACCCGTTAAATTCTCAAATAATGCCCCTGTTGCAGGAAAAGAAAAGAATGACCGATGATTAAAGCTGACCTAAGACTTTGTAACATCATACAATCCTAAGAGAAGTAGCAATACCAATTTATTAGAAAAGGAAAACACCCAAAAACATTATAATAAAGATAAAAAGGAAACCTAACAACAACAATGTCAATCACATACTTCTTTCACTAATGTCAAACAAACAAAAATGTTAACTTAACAAAAGAGTCCAAATCTTCTCCTTTTGTCATCTGGAATAATATTAGTAAACTACCACTGAAATTTCCATTACAACAAATCAAGCATCCATTACCCAAAAAAAAAAAAAGACAATGTAGTTTCGTATCAAAATCTCTGTTCTAAGATCAAAATTCAAGAAAATACGAAAAAAATATAGAGCAGAATCTCTGATTTCAGACATGACATAACAAACATGTAAGAAATAATAGAAACAGAGAGAGAGAGAGAGACTGCTCCACTACATTGAATTTAAATCTTGGCCGGGTGAAATTGGGACTAGCATAAGAGTGCAAGAACCCATTTGGATCGGCCGTCGTGTTCCACAAAACAACAAAACAAAACAAAAACAAACGATTCAATAAAAAAAGGTTTTGGTTATTAATAAACGAAAATGTGAGATCTTTTCTTCCAATTTGCAATAATGAAAGGTTACTTGCAAGAGGAGATAAGAAAAGATCATTGGGTTTCGATTTATGCCCGCAACGGAACATGAACAGCATTGTAATCTCGCTGCTCTGATCTCTCATAGGCACTTGAATTTTGACCTTTGGTGGCGGCGATGTTTATTTATAAGCGACCGCAAGACGAAGACCTTCAGTGTTTTTCCAATTGTCTGTTTTACCCTTAAACCTATTTTTAAACCTATTTTGTATTCTGTGAAAGGACCCAGGACTTTAGAAAATTTCCAATAAGTCCCGTTATATTTATTTATAGTCTATTTAGGCCCCCAGTTCTTGTATTTGTTGGTCACAACATCACATATTTTAATCGACAGCTATAAATAAGAGGAAAAATGGTCAATTCCCCTCCCTCCCCTCAAGTTGGTTTTGTCAATTCACACCTACAATTTTGTTTTGTACCTAAAATCAACATCAACTAAGATAAATTTTGAATTTCCTACGTACTCAAAGCTAATTTGGAATAAATCCACAAATTATTAGACGTTATTATTGTTTTGGAATCGAAATGACTGCATTTTATCCTTCCATGTCTATCATAATCGTTTCATTTGCACTAAATTAAATAGAGGAAGCTAAGTCTACCCCATCACCATGGCTCCTTTTATTAGGTACAATGAAAGTTCCAAGAATCAAAAGTTGAGGTAAAACAATTATTGTATGTATACATATATTTCTTTAAAGACCATATATACCTTCTTGATTAGGTTCTTAATTAATGAAAGCTGCTTCTTATACGAGAAACATGATGTATGATCTCTTCACTTTTGATAGTCTCTTGTTTGGGTATTCAAGCAAAGCTTATCATACAAAAACATGAACAATTCATTTCTCTTCTGATCTTCACTTTTGACTCTCTCTCTCTTGGTTAGGTTTTGAACAAATTTTTTTTTTTATATATACAAGCAACACAATGCTCTCTCTTTTATTGGATATTATCTTTTAAACAAATCCTGTAAAATTAGAAACATGATGTAATGTTTTTATTTTATTTTGATGTACGTTTCTGAACAAAGATTTGTTAAAGAAGAAACATATTGAGAAGATTTTGATTTTCCCTTGGTTATGCTTCTGAATATATAGAGCTTGTTTATTAAGTAATCGTGAGGGAAAGATTGGGTTAGATGGGTTTGCTTGAAATCCATAGAGATGAGTAGTTTAATTAAGGCACTGACCAAATTCATACGGATACAATCCACAATGATAAGGTATAATTATGATGTTCGGCCAAAGCTCGTCGTGTTATTCATTTTTTACCTGTAATCCTTTTTCTTATACATTTCCTGTTAGTGTCTCGTTGTTTATAAACATAATATAAGATTTGTGAAGGTACGTGAACATATTTTGAGTCAAGAGAGGCAATATTTCGCATTACTGATATAACAAATATTCAGCAGTCGTAAGGGCCTCTATGAAGTGTTGTGACGTGATGCTAATCCCACCAACCTCCACGATGTCAACACTAAGGAAACCCTTGAGAGAACCTTTGCTATACTCGATGGATACCTCTGTAAGAGGTTTTAACAGATAATAAGTCAGATTAGCTATTCGAAACTTTATTTAGTTTAGCTGTATGCTTATACTATATACATGATTATCTAATCGCTCACTCGGTTGGAGAAGGAAGCAAATGCTCACATTTCCATAACATTTTCATAGTATTTTCAAAACATCTCCATAATGTTTGCATAATATTGTCATAACATTTTCATATTTTTCCATAACATTTCTATAAGATTAAAGTCGGCAATTTAATTCACCACATTCAAATTTGATGTTTTTATTATGTTTTATATGCCATTTTCTGATATGCAAAGTTGATTCTTTTTTTTTTTTTTTTTTTTTTTGCTAACTTGTAAATATCATAAATATGAAAGGTTTAGTTGTACATGAGCACTAACTATAGGAAATGTAATCTTGGCAAAAAGAATAAAAACAAGATTACAGATAGGAGACTTATAAAGTCACAAAAGAGAAGATTAAGCATGATCTAGCCAAGCAAGCATAAGAGGCTGCCACCTTTTCCTATGCCGTCTTCCCGAGATGATATTGCGCACCTCTCTATCAATACTTTTAAAGATGGAAGTGGAAGGGATACTCGTGCCATTGTGAAGTACATTGTTTCGCTGGCGCCAGATGTGATAGACAGAAACTTGAGCAGCAACCTTACGCAACAGCGCAGGTGCTAGGGAAGAGGCATGCCTAAGTTTATGTTTTTTATGACATTTTCCCGCTTTTCTAATGTCAAAGAGAAATACATTATTTATGAATGTTTTATTCAAATTAAAAAAAAAAACTAACCAAAATGAAAAACCAAGTTAAACTCCATATCAACGTTCAAGAGTCCAAAGCAAGTGCTATAAGAGCTATAGATCAATTGAATATACATATATTTGTTTTGCAACTGGATTTGATGATTGTTCCTTCAAATGTGACTAGACGACAAAAAGTTATTCGGATGTTTTATGCAACATCAAGTTTTTCGATCTAACAATATGAATCTTAAACATTATAGTCGCAGGTATAAGAAAAAGTGATGTCGATGACAAAGAAAAGAAAAAAAGAAAAAGTGATATCAGGTCCATGGCTATCCATCTTTCATGACTTTATCGGAATTTGAACGTTACATTACTCAGCATGAATATGAACAAATAGTGCAGTAAAATCGCCGGGGTGATCCTTGATGCATCATTCTGCAGAAGAAACCGTTCGACACCTTGCAGGGAAACAACCTGATTGCCTGAATATATATGCATGTATATGATCGTCATCTCAATGACCCAAAGTATTCCGGTGGCCAGACCTAGAGAAGCAAACAGATATGTTACTTATAGGATTAGTTATCACTGTTTCATAATAACTTCATAGCTAAAAAAACTTGAGATAAGAATGTCAGAGTAGAAAAGAGTTACCCGCAGAAGAGCTTTTCCTTCAATGAGACTGTAAGGTATAGGTCCAAAATGGCGTGAATCAGTCGAAGCATACAAGTTATCTCCCTGAATCCAAACATGACCTTTTGGAATCTATTAAAGAAGGAAACACATAACCCTTTTATCAGACAAGCTTTGGAGCTGCAAAACCGAGACTGGTCGTAGTGCACAGATAAAATAAGACAGCAAAAAGCCTAAATGCTTATACCTACTCACAAGTCTGACTTTAATCGAAACCAGACCAGCAATGATTCACATTTTAGACCATCTCAAATCATCAATCATATACAAATAAACCATAAACCCTAAGCCATAGACATTTGCAAATTGCATACTTTTACCCTTAATGCTATAACTACTATGGAATCGACTCAACCGAAACTAGTAACTAGCAATCTTTTACCTTCTACACCATCTCAGATTATCAATCATACATAGAGAAATCCTGAAGCCGAAACCATAAATTTGCAAATTCCACCGAATGTTGCCTTAAACCATAAATTGCTATAACTACTCTGATATCGAATTTCAACGAACCCAGTAACCAGCAAACTTTTGCATTCTAGACCATCTACATTATCAGTGATACACAGAAACCTTTAAACCCTATAAATCTGCAAACTCCATCTTCTTTTATTACCTTAAACTCTTAATGCTATCACTACTCTGAGTTCAACTTTAAATCGAAGCCAGTATACTCCTCCTTTCTAAACAGTCCCAACTCATCAATCATACATAGATAAAACCTTAAACCCTAGCAATTTGATCATTCTATCATATAAAATCTTAAGCCCTCAAAACAATAACTACTCTGAAATCGACTTTATCAATCCAGTTTCTAGCAATATCTCACCTTTTAGACCATCATCATACGCAGATAAACACTAAAACCTAGATTACATTGCAAAATTCAGTCAAGACTTTAACCAACTACAACAAAAGATTGAGTTTTTAAAGGAGTGATAGCTCAATGATCATACCACAACGCTGACGGAGTTATCACCGACCAATGGGTCAGCAGAGAAAGTGAGTCTATCGCCTTCTAAACCCAAGATTCTCTTTGTCACCATCCTGTTAGGGTCTCTCGGAGATCGAACCAACACAACATCACCGAGCCCAATCTTACCGAACCGGTGTGATAAATGTTCAGCCAAAATAACATCGCCGGTGAGGTTAAGCGTCGGAAGCATACTCGGACCTTGAACCTAAAACCCCAAATCAAACAAAAATTAGATTTCGTGGAGAATACGAAAAGAGATAAACAGATTCAAATTCGCTTGGTTACAAACAATTACAGACGTGAGTAGAGGAGATTATATAACGATCCGTGACATGAAGCAAGCAGAGAAACTTGGCTACGATTGATACATTCTCGAACGCTTCTTTAGCTGCTCCACGCCATTGCTTCAGAAAACTCATCACTCTCATTCTCATATTTCTCTCTCTCTCGTCAGAAGAAGCAGAATAAAGGTCGAAGACGACGAAAGAAGGAACCAATTCGACTAACACTTAAAAATGACATGTAGTTATTTATTCTACACCCAAAACGACACCAAGTTTTGACCTGTTAATGTGTTTTTTACTTGTTAATGTGAAAACGTCGTGTAGTAGAGTTGCATACATTGAAAACGACAGGTTTTCTTCGTTAATGACAGCCAAAGCCACAAGTGAAAGAATTTGTGATGATCTGTATAAATTTTGCAGAGTCAATTAGTGGTTTTTCAGCTGCTTCTTGTACAGATCAAAACACTTAGGATTTATCGCCGGAGCTTTTTGAAAATGGAAGGTATTCTTGCTGCGGTTCCAACTGCAATGTGTGTCTCTCTGCGCACTAATGCTGAACCCATTCATCATTTTCCCGGGAAGTTCTCGAATCGGGTTTCAGTGCTTCAAACAGGGAACTGCGTTTCTTCTCTTCGGAAACGTTCGATTCATCCTTGTCAAAACGGCAATGCTTTGCTCAGAAAGCTACATTGTGGTGAAATTTCGCGTGGCATCGTTAAATCCGCCGCTTCTTCGGGTAAAGTTTGAACCTTTATAGAAAACAGAATTTGATTTCAAAATTTGTAGTTGAGTTTGCTTTTGGGTTTAGGGTTAATCAATCATTTTGCTTCTGTCTTTTAGAGCTTGAAGAAACAGTGTAGGCGTTAGCAAGTACTCATTTTTATAAAAGCAAAAAGAACAAATTTGAATGCAATTTGATGTTTAACCCACCCAGTTTCATTTTCTTCTGTTTTGCTTGTGGTAGTTGGAAATGCAGACGAATACGCTGAAGAAACGGCGACAAGTGTGAAGTTTCGGAGATCAGTGACATTACCTGGTTGTTCTAGCCCGTTGTCTTTGCTAGGCACTGGTTAGTTTTCACTTTTCATCATATCTGCACTCTTTAGCTTCAAAAATGCTACTTTTTTTTCTCAACGCTTTTATTATAGATCTCTATGGGATCTAGTGTATATGAATTACTTCTACACTTGGTATGAGGCTTCCTTTATGGGTCTATATATGAAAATGCATCAATGTTATCAGGGTTTAGGGAGAAAAAGTTTGCCATCATTGGTGTCAAAGTCTATGCTGCGGGTTATTATGTGAATGAATCTATCCTGAGAGGGTTAAGCGCTTGGAAAGGGCGATCTGCCGATGAGATCGAAAAAGATTCATCACTGTTTAGTTCCATTTTTCAAGGTAATGAAATGCTAAAGATAATAGCTTTCTTCATGCATCATTGATCTCTCTCTCTTCTGAGTCTTATTCCTTTCATTAATGCAGATCAAGCAGAGAAATCTTTGCAGATTGTTCTCGTGAGAGATGTTGATGGTAAAACCTTCTGGGATGCATTGGATGAAGCCATTTCACCGAGAATCAAATCTCCGTCTTCTGAGGATACTACTGCTCTCTCTACATTCCGCGGGATCTTCCAAAGCAGACCTCTCAACAAAGGAAGTGTCATACTCTTGACCTGGATCAACCCTTCTAAAATGCTTGTAAGCACAATTAATTGTTGTTACACATAAACTTAATAGTTTTGCTTGCTCATTTGTCGGTTCTTTGGTTAGGTTTCTGTCTCCACGGGAGGATTGCCAACGGATGTGGATGCTACGATCGAGTCAGGCAATGTTACATCTGCTCTGTTTGATGTGTTCTTTGGGGATTCTCCAGTTTCTCCTACATTGAAATCTTCAGTGGCTAACCAGTTAGCTATGACCCTTGTGTGAACGTAAAGTATCATATTGTAGCTGTATGTATCATGAAAATTGCAATGTGTTAATCTCTATTTTATGTTGTTATCTAACCATATAAAGTTAGCCAACATGAGCAAATTTAATACTCGAAATCTCATGTGAAACGTAGTCCAATATGTATATAAAGAGCATAAGAATAAAAAAAATTGGTTTTGATCCCTAATTTTGTAACATGTAATCCAAAATAGTGAGTCAAACAGTTGGAAGTTAGGTAAAGAATTAAAATTGTAGAAGTGTAAGTCAAGATCATATATATATAGAACGGAAAATAAATATGATTGTGGTGGAAGACAAGAAAAGATGAATGAAATGATATGGTTTTGGTTTGGGACAAGTTGAGCAAGTGAGTCTTTATCTTGGTGTGTGCCCTTTACCACATGCAACTTCTCCTTTCTTCCTCTCTAAGTGGACCACAAATTTATACACACAATTGATGATGCATTTGTCTTTATTAATTTTTATGTTTCATCAACATTACTATATCTTTTGTTTTTCCCATCTTTATATTTGGCTCACATCTTATTTAATAAAATGTAACACCCACACAAATAAAGAAACAAAATAAATCAGCTTGGTGGAGATATTTTGTGCTTTCCCTAGTCAAAACTCTAAAGTATACAATGTACAAAAAGCATGATTCATTCATGTGAAAATGCATTTTATATTTCATCTCTTTAAATTATTATTACTATTATAAATAAAAAAAAAAACAGAAAGATGAGCTTTAGTTTGAACACCTTAAAATATATATAAAATGACACCAACCCCTACAACACTGTCATATATAATATGAAATTTGTGATATTTGTGCAGCTTATGAATCCAAGAGTTCTATTATTAAAGGTAATGGACCAACTTTGCAACTTACTCATATGTTTTTTTTTAATGTTTTAAATGCCTCTCAAATACAACAATTATTTTTTTATATATATAATTTTCTAAAATATTAACATATAAATCATGAACCTTTTTGTGGATGGATTTGCCCCCTCTTGTGATAAACTTTAAATATGAACCAGACACTTAATAATAAGTTTGGTCTTTTCAATAAATACAAACGCCAAATTGTGTTAAATTGACATGCGAATATATAATCAACTATACCTCTAGGTTTTCACACGAATTATTTTTCTATCAAAGACTAAGACATAACCTATGTGTGGATTGCAATCTTTTGTTTTTTGTTTTTTTGTTTCGTATTATCATCAGAAAAATTTAAGAGAAGTGACTAACAACTTGATGATACTTCATACTTGCATAGTTGCATGGAATAAATGTATTACTGTCTCGTCCTTTATCAAATTAGACTAAACCAAATCTAAGACCAAATAATATCATCTTTGTTTACATATGAATTTATTTGTTTGATAGATGTTATGATTATACAGAATCTCTAGTTAGATAATGTTGAATAATATTTGTTCCAATGGTACGAGAAATTATACGATCACGTGGGGGGTTAAATTGACCACATGAGAAAAAGAGTGGCTAGAATTGAATATTAAAATATAAGATAGGGGTCAAAATCGGAGCCAAAGAAAAATTTAAAAAACGGTCCAAATCCAGCAACAAGTGTCTTTACTTAAACCAATTGGGTCATTTTCAAAAAAAGGTCGTCCACAGTAAGGGAAAGGCAAATACAAATTTTATCCTTAGAGTTGTGTTGTAATAACGAAACTGCCACTCATCATCTGGGATTTGGTCACACCCGTACGCAATAAGTACCCACGAGAATTGGCTTCAATTAGTAATTATTTTTTTTTAATTCAAATTTAGAAAAACTCAAACCAACCCAATAAAAACAATAAAATAAAGAAAAATCTCAGATTTTTAAATTCTCTCTCTCTATATTTCTCTTCTTCTTCTTCTTTGATCGCTGGATCTAGGTTTCTTTTTGTTTGGTTTCTTCCTCTGCTCTCTCGTCTTCTTCACTGACTGGGTTTGAATTTGAGTTCGTTTGGTTTCGGGACCTTTTAGCAAATTAGGGTTTTTACTTTTATTTTTCGAAAAACCGATCGAGATTTTTGAGATTGAAAATTTTGCTATTTTCTTTGATACTTTTTTTGTGAGTTCGAAGGTTTGAGTTTTCTATTTCCGTCTTTTGTGTTCGCCGAATCAATTAGGCAAGATTCCAGTTGATATATTTGAAGAAGATGCAACAAAATCAAGTGAAGAAGGTTAATAGTCTCTTCTCTCTCTCTAGCTTTCTCAGTCACAGTTTGGCTCAAATTCAAAATTATAAGAGGATAGAGGATAAAGTCTTTTCCTTTTTTTGTTTTGAAAAAAAAAAAAGGTTTCCTTTTCCAATTGCAAAAAGGTTTACTTGCATGAGCATTATAATGTTCTGTTTCTTCGAGTTTTTGTTGTTGAGTGGATAAGCTTACTGTATTCTTATAAAGTTTCTGTTTTTTTTTTTTTTTTTGGTTCTGTTCTACTTTTGAGATTCACCAGGGGACGAAAGAGATGGAGTTTTTCACAGAGTATGGTGATGCTAACAGATATCGGATTCTGGAAGTTATTGGCAAAGGAAGCTATGGAGTTGTGTGCGCAGCTATTGATACTCATACTGGAGAGAAAGTTGCTATTAAGAAGATTAATGATGTCTTCGAGCATATTTCTGATGCGCTTCGGATTCTCCGTGAGGTGAAGCTTCTTAGGCTTCTACGGCATCCTGATATAGTTGAAATCAAAAGCATTATGCTGCCTCCTTCTAAGAGGGAGTTTAGAGACATTTATGTTGTGTTTGAGCTCATGGAATCAGATCTTCATCAAGTTATCAAAGCTAATGATGATTTGACTCGTGAACACCACCAGTTTTTCCTTTATCAGATGCTTCGTGCTTTGAAGTTTATGCATACAGGTGCAATTCCTTTCATTGTTTGAGACCTGAGATCCGCAGCATGTCTGGTTGTAACTAACTGTATTTTTTCTTACTGGGTGTAGCTAATGTTTACCATCGTGACCTTAAGCCAAAGAATATACTGGCAAATGCAAACTGCAAGTTGAAAGTTTGTGACTTTGGATTGGCTAGAGTATCCTTCAATGACACGCCTACAACAGTCTTTTGGACGGTTAGCCTCATGGACACCTTTTGTTTGCTAACTGTTAATCTTCGTCTATGTAACTGTTTCCAATTTTGTGTGTTTGACCTTTCCCTTTGCTTGAATTATTTAAATTGGATGCAGGACTATGTTGCCACAAGATGGTACAGAGCACCTGAGCTATGTGGATCATTCTTTTCAAAGGTATGTGTTACTGTGGGATTGAAATACGTCTTTGAACGCACATTAGTTGTCTATGCTTTTAGGTCTTATGTACAGAATAGTGTTTACTGTAGATATCTGCAAAATAGTGTTAAAAGATTTAGCTGATATTTGATGGTGCTTGAATAAGTATAGAGTTGTGCCCCAGTGGGATATTAAAATAATTCTTGTTCAGGGATGACTTTGAACTCTCCCGGAAGTTGAAAATCTGTGAATCAGGTAACCTTGTATCAGGTTATGTTCATTGAGTGTGTTTTTGTTTTGCGTATGGAACTTCATATTTTGGATTATTTTTTCGTCAGTCTGATTTACAGTTTATAATATTTTGCAGTATACTCCAGCTATCGACATTTGGAGCATTGGCTGCATCTTTGCAGAGGTACTAACAGGGAAGCCATTGTTTCCGGGAAAAAGTGTTGTTCATCAGTTGGAGTTGATAACTGATCTTCTTGGCACACCAAAATCAGAAACAATTTCTGGAGTATGATTTCTTTGTCTACTTCACATTCACTTGTAATTTATATTCATATACTGAATTGTATAGCTAATATCTGTATCACTGATACAGGTTCGAAATGATAAAGCTAGAAAATACTTGACTGAAATGAGGAAGAAAAATCCTGTAACCTTCTCGCAAAAATTCTCCAAAGCAGATCCTTTAGCACTCCCTCTTTTGCAGAGGCTGTTGGCTTTTGATCCAAAGGACCGACCCACTGCTGCAGAGGTCTTTCTTCTGTCATTGTCACTTTGTTATTAGATACTTGTTACGCCCTCTTTCCAAAGCTGCCTTACTTCTTTTGTGTATCTTTGCTTACTTTGCTATCTTTTCTGTTTTTGGATAGGCATTGGCTGATCCTTACTTCAAGGGTCTTTCTAAGGTTGAAAGAGAACCTTCGAGTCAGCAAATCTCGAAGATGGAGTTTGAATTTGAGAGACGCAGATTGACGAAGGATGACATTAGAGAATTAATATACAGAGAAATACTGGAATACCATCCTCAGTTGCTCAAGGACTATATGAGCGGATCAGAAGGATCTAATTTTGTATACCCGAGGTTTTAATTTCTTCCTACCTTTTCCTATTTTTCGCAAAATGAAACATTCTTCTTTTCTTTCTCTCTTTGGGTTTATGTCAAATCGCCTGCTTCTGGCTTTTCATCCAGGGTTTGACTTTTTCACTTGCAGTGCCATTGGACATCTTAGGCAGCAGTTCACTTACTTAGAGGAAAATAGCAGCAGAAATGGGCCGGTCATACCTCTCGATAGGAAACACGCATCACTTCCTCGGTAAGTTTATTCATTCCATGCATGTCCACTGTGGATAATATGATTGTTTTTTGTTCTTCCTTCTGTTGCGTCATAGCATATGGTTCTTTTCTAATGGATATGATTGTTTTCGACAGGTCTACGGTTCATTCAAGTGTAGTCCCTTCCACCATTCAACCCAACTTGAGCGCAACAGAAAATAGACGTGTTTCTTTCGAGCCTTCAAGAAATGGAGTTGCATCTGCAGGACATCCATCAACATCGACTTATCCAACTAAATCTATTGGACCTCCACCTAGAGTACCACCATCAGGTAAAACCTCGATCGCATCAGTATATATATTTTTCTAAAAGTTATAGTGACCAATTGTTTTGGGGTGTCTTATTACAGGTAGACCAGGTCGTGTTGTGGAATCATCTGTATCTAATGAGAATGGTAGAAACCTCAAAGAAGCTTATTTCAGAAGCGGGGTATCATCTCCACACTGCTACTTCCGGCCAAACACCATGACAAATCCAGGGAGTCGAAACATAGAAGCTTCTTCTTTTCAGCCAAGACAACAG